CAGCGACTATGGGCAGAGGCTGTACATACAGTAGTATATATTCTAAATAGATGTGTTTCATCAATGTCACACGAAAAAACTCCACTTGAGTTATGGACACAACAAAAACCAGATTTAACGCATGTTAGAATTTTTGGAAGTATAGCGTATGCGCATATTACAAAAGAATTTCGCAAGAAATTTGATGCGAAATCGAAGAAATGTATCCTCGTAGGCTACCAAGGTGACTCGAAAAATTATAGATTGTATGATCCAAACACCGATAAAATTATAGTTTCGCGCGACGTAATCTTTAATGAGGATGTCGATAGTATGAACTCAAAAAAGGACAGCGGTCCTATTATTACTATTAAAAACGAAATTGTCAAGAATAATGAAAATGTAATAAATAAAGAAACGGTAGATGAAGATAGTTTTCTAGACTACGAAGATGCAAATGATAAAATAGAAACTCCATGTTTCATAGAAACAGCTAAAAAGTATAAATTAAGAGATCGCAGATCTATTAAAGCACCAGATAGTTACTCCGCTGTCCTTTTTTGAGTTCATACTATCGACATCCTCATTAAAGATTACGTCGCGCGAAACTATAATTTTATCGATGTTTGGATCATACAATCTATAATTTTTCGAGTCACCTTGGTAGCCTACGAGGATACATTTCTTCGATTTCGCATCAAATTTCTTGCGAAATTCTTTTGTAATATGCGCATACGCTATACTTCCAAAAATTTGGAAGTTCAATATACAGTTGTTGGTGGATTAATATTGAATTTTCTTTGCGATTGCGCAAATTTGTATCCCTAAAAAATATTCTGAATTTTCAATTGTAATTTCAAATACATTTTGTATTTCTTTCAAGGTGTCATTTATTAAATTCTCATTTGTGGCTAAAATAAGTCCATCGTCTATATAAAGTGCAATCATGACTTTACTTTGCTCATTATTGCGAAAGAAAACACATGGATCTGCATTTGATTGCTTAAAGTAATTTACATGACCTTCCCCCCTAAAATCTCTCCCTCCCCTCCTCATTCTATCTTCCTCTGTATTTCTTTCTTTCCCTCCCTTTCTGCCTTTTTCCTCTATCTTCCTTCCCTCTAGCCATATGACCACCGGGTGATGATCTGAATCCACTTCTTCTCCCACTTCCAATCTCGCCATCTTGTTTAACATCTCCCTAACCCCTAATATATAATCTATCACTGTTTCTCCCCTCTCTCCCACATACGTATACTCCCCTTCTTCATCTCCCTTTACACATCTATTCAAAGTTCTCCACCCCCTCTCTTCGATAACTTTTATCAACTTTTTCCCTTTTTCATTCACTTTTTTGTCTTTAGACCTTCTACTCATTTCTTTCTCTCCTCCTGACTCCACTCCACCTGACTCCACCTTCTTCCACCTTCCTTCCTCCCCCGTCCTCGCATTAAAATCCTTCCCTATGATTGTTCTTATTCCCTTCTCCCTTTCCTCCATCCATTTCTTCAACCCCTCTAACTTCCCAAGTTCTTATTGCATATATTCCCACTACCCTCCATCTTCCTTTTATCCACTTTTACCACGCATTTTATCTCACTCCCTCTTCCTTCTCCTCCTCTTCCTCTCTTTCAATCTCCTTTTTTATTCCTATCATCATCCACTTGTCCTTCCCTTCTTGTTCTTTCTCTTTGCCTATCTTACTTTTCACTCATATTCATTTTCCCTCTCATACTCTGTCAAATATTTCTCATCTACCCATGTTTCCATTAGAACCACTATCTCCCATTCTCTAGTTTTTCCTCAAAACTCCTTATCCTTATCTTTTACCTCCGCCACATTCCAAAATGCTACTTCTACTCCTTCCCCATTTTCCCATCTCCCCCCCCCTCCTGCTCCCCTTTTTCCTCTTCCCCCTGTATTTCCCACACTTCACCCTCCTTATCTCTTAATCTGTCCTCTTCCTCACCCTACCATCACCACTTTTCTTCTATCCGCACTTTCCCATAACTTACTCTCCTCCCTCTGCTTCTCTCCTTCCTCGCTATCTCTTCTAACTGTCACCTCATCTTCCTTTTTCTCCACGTCAGATCATCTTCTATCCTTACCTCCTTTCCTCCTATTTACCTTCTCTTCCTCATCACTATCTTTTTTCCTTCCAAACTTCTCATCCTTACTAACACTCTCCTTTCTTCCCCTTCCCTCTTTATATTTGTCACCTTTACCTGCTCTATCTCCTCACCTACTCCCACTTCAATGCACATTCTTCTAATTCTTTCCTCTATTTCTTTCTTTTCTCCTTTCCACGTCTTCACTCATGTTTTTCCTCCTCTCCTCCCTTTCTCTCATCTCCACTCATCTTTCTATTTATTTTATTCCAGCTTCTAATCTGTTATTTTTCCCTTCCCTTTCTCTCCTCCCTTCCTCCTCTCCTTCTTTGTACCTTCTTTCAAGCTCCTCTATTCTACCCTTCATTTCCCCTTTGTCTCTTCCCCATTCCTCCTCCCTCTCTCTCATTCTCCTTATCATTGCTTCCATCTCCTCTCTCACCTCTTTCCTCTGACTTCTCACTGCTTCCTTTAACTTCTCTTTTATTTCCCTCAGCTCTTCCATAAATTCCCTTCTCCATCCCTCTCTTCTCCCTTCATTCTGTTCCCTCTTTCCTTCTCCATTCTCCTTCATTTCTTTCCTTTTTTGCGGTGATTTTTGCCATTTCTTTGCTTTTCTAAATAAACCATTCTCCCTCCTCTTCCGCTTCCCTTTCCTCCTTTCCTATCGAATTTCTTTTTCTTTTTCTTTTCCACATCCTGTCCAAGCTTGTATTCCCTTTACTCTCCTTTCTTCCTCTTCCCACTATTTCTCTCTTTCCTTTCATTATCTTTCCTTTTTTCCTCCACTTCTTCCTTCCTTGTCTTTCTCCTCCTTTCCCTCTTCGCCTAGTCAACCTTACTCCCTATCCTTCCCTTATCTACACTTCTTTCCCTGTTCTTCCTGCTCTCGCCACATTTTCCTTCATTTAATTTTTATCCACCTCTCCAGATCTCTTCCTTTGCTCCTTTGTCTCCTCTCTCATCCGCCCCCCCTCTATCTTTTCTAATTTCTCTATATCTCCCTCCTTTCTTTGTTCCCTTCCCACACCTTCCCACATTTTCCCTCATCCATACTTTTCCACCTATCTTTCACTCCGCTCTTCTCCTCCTCTCACTTTCCTCACACTTTCAAACACTTTTTCATTCTCCTTCACTCTCTTTCTCGCTCGTTCCAAAATCGTCAGTCACTCGCACTCGCTCCGGAAACGGAAGTTAAAAAAAAAATTAATTTTCTTCTTGCAAGAAAATCATTTGCTTATTCTTGTATATAAATATTTTAAATCAAAGAAATCATTTTATCTAGAAATTCATAATTTTACAGCTCATTTTTTACAAATTAAAAAAAAATATTACTTTATATTTATTACATGTTTTCTAAAATTTAACAAATATATTTTTAAGTTAAGAAATTATATTTAACAAAATATATTTCTTTGATTTAAAGAATTTCTTTTTAGTGTATGCATTATCAATTTAAATTTTGATTCTCTTATTTCTTCATTAACTTAATAATTATAAATAATTATGTTCGGGAATGTGCTAATTACCAAGGTTGTTGGTTTTGAATCAGGAATAGAGGAGAAGATAGATTGACCGCTAACAGTTTGAAATTTGATATCACGCACTTTATTCGATTGTAGTCAGAAGTTGATTTGCCTATTTGAAAATACAGACCTAGACGAACGGTGGATAATGACGGTACGGAACGAACGGAGATCTTGCCCTTGACCAAACGTGCTGCTCGCGGACGCGACGGAAATCTTGGGCAGAGCTATAGACAGTAGCTCCGGACGCGGCGGAAATCTTCTCGCGGCGGGACGTACTTAGCAGCGATCAAGATCCGAGCGCGAAAACACGACACACCGCTCGCCAGATCGAGTCGGTTGGTCCGAATAATCGTAAAAGTCGGAACCCGTAATGATACAGACGGTTAGCACGGCAGTTTCGTAGTTCGACAGAAGAACGGCGCACCGCGGAACGCAAAGTCTTTGTTATTGATTGCGTGTCACAAATCAAAACGAAACACGACAACACACCGAGCTTAATAAGGAAAACGAATATATATTTTTCGATCGGCACAAAAATGGGGGGTGCGCGACGGATCCTACTTGACGCACGGCGCACACGAGTAATCGAAAAAGGATCGCGAATGAGGATCCGCGAACGCGACTTTCAACGATTCGCTGAAATTATCCAATTATTAGACGATTCCGGAACATACCGCCCGTCTCGAATGATATCATTCGAAAAGAGGACTATAACTATAACGCTTACGTGTTGTGATTAGAACGCTAATAATACTGAAATGGAAAAAAAAAACAAAATTTTTTTTTTTACAATAAAAGGTGCAATACAATACATTTTAAATACGGTTATACATTTCGTCGGAATCGGTACCGCCCGCCGTGGCGGAATTTTGATCGGTGTTGTTGATGTCGATCGGCAGGAAACATTTTACAATGGGACGCTTGTACTGTGAACGCGCGGTGCGTACAGTAACGACACGAGTGAGTCCATCGTCGCCGGGATGACATTCGGTGATGCGTCCGAGTTCCCAGTGACATGGAGGCGCAAGTGCGTTTCGCAAGAGAACTATTCGACCTATAGTCGCGAGTCGTTGCGCTGTTTTCCACTTTGGCCGCTGCTGCAACGTCAATAGGTAGTCGTTTGACCACGATTTCCAAAACTTCTCGGTAGTGTGTTGCAACAATTGCCAGCGGGAAAGACGTGATTCGTTAAGATCGAGAACGCTTGGCTGTGGCGCAGCTAGAATGGGTCCTCCGATAAGGAAGTGTCCCGGCGTTAAGACATTATAATCATCGAAATTTTCGGACACGGCGCCAATGGGTCGAGAATTAAGACATGCTTCGATACGACACAGAATGGTAGTTAATTCTTCGAATGTGAGTGTATGGGATCCTATACAACGTTTCAAATGATACTTGACACTGCGCACGGCAGCTTCCCATAATCCACCGAAGTGGGGCGCGGAAGGTGGAACGAAATGCCATTTACTCCGTCGGTCGAAAACATATTTTGAAAATCCGAATTTTTGAGAGCGTTTGTAATTGCGATCCGAAGTTCGCGATCGGCGCCTTGGAATGTAGTTCCATTATCTGAATAAATCGATGCAGGATATCCGCGACGAGAGACGAAACGATGGAATGTGGCGAGAAAAGCTTCTGACGTGTAGTCGCTTACGAGCTCGAGATGGATCGCTTTTGTAGTCATACATACGAAAACGGAAATATAGGCTTTGTGCGCCTTATGACCTCGTCCACTAGAGGTTCGTACGAGAATCGGACCGGCATAGTCGACACCGCTATGTTCAAATGCTCGAGTTGAGCGGTTTACTCTGACATTCGGAAGGTTGCCCATAAGTTCTGTATGAATCTGAGCTCTCTCTCGTGTACAGGGTACACACTTGTAGAGTACAGCACGGACCAGAGATCGTGCTCGTAATATCCAAAATTTCTCGCGAATACGAGCTAATGTTAGTTGAGATCCAGCATGCAGAGTTCGTCGGTGGGTGTCCGTGATAATCATCCTGACCAGGGGATGGTCCTTTAGGACAATCGGATTACGAACGTCATCTTGTAAGGTGGCGTTCCTAAGCCTGCCACCGACTCGAATAATTTGGTCATGATCGAGATACGGATTTAATGAAAGCAATGGGCTAGATTTCTTAATCGGAGTCGCCTTGTTTAGTGACGACATCTCGCATGGGAATATTTTGGATTGAATGTAACGAACCCAGAATGTTTCAGCGGACTTGATTTCAATCGGATTTAAGTAGGTTTGAGTACCAGGTTGTCGTATCGTCGAGTTGCTGACGGTATTCCGAGCGCGGGAATTGTTTATGAATCTATAAAGATAGGCTGTTATTCGGAGGAGCTTGTGCCATGACGAATAACGCTGTGCTAGATCCCACGGTATTACAACGAAAGTAGTGAGCGACTGTGTTTGCTCGCGTTGTTCGCTTAGCGCGTGATGATCGAATTCCGAGTTAGATCTAGGCCAATAATCGGACGATTGTCTAAGCCATTCTGGACCTGACCACCATTGAATGTTTGTGGCCAGGTCGTCTGGAGCGATTCCGCGCGAAGCGCAGTCGGCAGGATTCTCTTTCGTCGAGATATGACGCCATGGAGTGTTAGGAAGTAACGTGTGAATCTCGGCTACTCTATTGGCGACAAAGGTCTTCCAGGTAGTGGAAGGTCGGCTCAACCAAGCAAGGGTGATTGTGGAATCGGTCCAACAATGAACGCTTACGTCACGAAAGTCGAGAGATTCGAGAAGAAATTCGATGAGCCGCGCGAGTAATTGAGCTGCCGATAGCTCGAGTCGCGGAACACTCATGGTCCTGACGGGAGCGACTTTTGATTTTGCGGCAAGGAGATTGACCGAGACCATTCCATCCACTGTGATGACGCGAAGGTACACTGCTGCGGCGTATGCTTTCGTAGAGGCATCCGAGAATCCGTGCAATTCTCGATTCAGTACGTGATGGCCGAGTTGAATCCAGCGTGGAATCGTCACCTCTTCAAGTTTGTGAAGATGAGTGCGATACTGCTGCCAGGCCTCAAACAGCTTCGGCGGAACGACTTCGTCCCAATCACATTGGGCTATCCAAAGTCGTTGCATTAAAATTTTGGCATGAATAATAACTGGCGTTGCCCATCCGAGTGGATCGAAAAATTTAGCAATATCGGACAAAATTTTCCTTTTGGTATTGCCGGGCGAACCGGCAATTTTTACAGTAAATTGGAAGATGTCACGATCTGGTCTCCAAGTGAGGCCGAGAATTTTTAGACTTTCATCTTCGCGTAAATCTCGGTTCTGAGCTCGACCGTGGTCGGTAGCGTCGATCTCGTCAAGGAGTTCAGGCAGGTTGCTTGCCCACTTTCGAAGCACGAATCCACCTTTTTTGAGAAGAGAAACAACCTGCTCGCGAGTTTGACGAGCGAGAACCTTGTCATCGGCACTGAAAATAAAATCGTCTACGTACATTTGACGATCAAGAACTGAGATGGCTAACGGAAAGGAAGCGCCTTCATCGATAGCGAGTTGGTTCATGACTCTTAATGCTAAGTAGGGGGCTGACGTCATGCCGTATGTTACGGTACAGAGACGATATGCTTCAACTGAGAATGTTGAAGACGGCCGCCAGAAGATGCGCTAATAATCGCGATCGCGAGGATCGACGAGAATTTGACGATACATTTTGGCCACGTCGGCAGAGTAAACGTATCGAAATGTGCGCCAACGCAAAATTATTGCGGCTAAGTCCTTTTGAAGTTTAGGGCCCGGATACAAATGATCGTTTAATGACGTTCCATTGGATGTTCGGCTTGAAGCGTTAAAAACGATACGTGTGCGCGTTGTGAGGCTGTTAGCGCGGAATACGGCATGATGCGGAATGTATACGATTTGCGTCGTGTCATTCAAGTCTTCGGTTTCTGAGACGCGTTGCATATGGCCAAGATCAGAATATTCCTTTAAGAACGTGTGATATTCCGACGATTTCGATGAATCTATGTTAAGGCGGCTTTCGGTGCGAAGGTAATTTTGAAACGCGGAATGTCGAGACTCTCCAATATTGATTGGAGGTCCGGTTTTGAATGGAAGTCTTACGACGTAACGACCTTCGGAATTGCGAGAATGCGTTGAAGTGAAATGGTCGTCACAAGCCTTTTCTTCGCTCGTTAATTTCGATGAAATGGGAACTTCCTCGATTTCCCAAAATCGGCGGAGAGTTTGATCAAGTTCGTCCACAACGGAGATGTGATGGACGTCAATGGCTTGTCGGGAATGCGATCTTGAGTGCGCTGTAGGCCCGGAAATGATCCAGCCCAATACGGTATTTTGAGCGATGGGTTCGTCGGCGGCGCCTTTGCGCACGCCGTCGAGAATGAGAGATCCGAAAAGATCCGCTCCGATAATTATTTCTATTGGAGCTGATCCTGCGGGATCGGGATCAGCTAACGAAAGTCCATTCAAATGCGGCCATTGCGTTTGAATGTCGAGACGATTTGGTAAATATCGAGTCAGCGATTTCAAAATTAACGCGGTGGTTGAATAAACTGGAGCATCCGCGTGACTAGGAGTGATCGTCAGGCACGCGGCATGTCGAACGCTCGTCTGCGTTTCGCCGATACCTGTTACCTGAACTGCTGTATTTAACTTCGGAAGTCTTAATGACTGTACGAGATTTTCGGTGATGAAGGATGATGCGGATCCTTGATCAATAAGCGCTCGTGCCCATTGGGATCGACCGTGCTTTGACAGTACGCGAACGCGAGCAGTAGCAAGGAGAATCTGACGCGCGGAGATAGCTTTCGCAACGATATGCGATGAAACGTCCGTTGCCGGGGCGACGGTAATTGTTGTCGCGGGAGACGGTATCGCTTGAGCATTTGCTTTCGGAGCGTCGGAAAAATGTAGAAGCGTATGATGCTTCTTGTTGCATTCTTTGCACGAGCGGACACTCGTACATTCTTTCGCTTGATGCTTCGAACTTAGACAATTAAGGCAGCGCCTTTTATTTCGAATTACTTCGTATCGTTGTGTCGGAGTTTTAGCGAGAAACGCGGAACATTGATATAACAAATGATTCGAGTCACACACGGGACACGAAAATTTGGTAGCGCTGGTGATATGCGATGTGATTGCCTTTTGTTTTGGTTTCATATTAGATTTATCGCTCTGTTTATCCGAAGTCGGCGCGATCGGTACACGCACCGGCGTTAATGCCGTCCGAATATCCGTGTGACTCGCACACGATAACGCGTCACTCATACACTGCTGCGTGTAGGTGAGCTAAGAGCAGCACGGAGTGGCGGAGGGAGCTAGCGGTATACGATCGTCGGACGCTTGGAGAGGGAATAGTGGTGGGAGTCGC